ATCTGGAAATGCCAAAAGTTTTGTATTCGAAAAACTTAGTTTAAGTTTGAAGATGAGCCATTTTCGATTTGATCCTGGGGTACTTGCCCTAAGAAAAACCTCAAAAAATTGACACTTTTGTATGGGAGGTACCCGTAAATCGACTCCGATTGGCTTCAAACTTTCTGGGAATTCATTTTTTGGGAGAAAAATAAGATTCTGAAATTTTGGAATCAATCAGAATCGATTTACGAGTACCTCCCATACAATTTATTTGAAAATTTGACTAAAATTACCGATTTTTGGAAAATTTCGTATGGAAGGTACCCGTTAATCGATTCCGATTGGCTTCAAACTTTCTGAGGTTTCATTTTTTGGAAAATAAATAAGACTAGTCTCGCCCAGTGGTCGAAATTCGACCATCCAAACGTTAATATAAAACTCATTACATTTCTTGTCAGTCTTTATTGATTGCAGTCTTTATTTATTGCGGTCAAACATAAGTATTGAGAATTCAATTTGACATAATACAAAATGTGTTTGTAAGAACAAAAAGTTTTATGATGATTTAAAAAATCCAGTAAGATATAGAGCCCCGGTTTCGAAATGAATTTTGATCTGTCCGAAGGCGATCAATTCAACAACGTATTGCCATTCGATAGGCTGTGTGTAAACAGCCAAATACGTGCCTGAAACGAAAAAAAAAATCGAAAACATTAATAATTATTAAATGAAAATTTTTATTTTTTTTTAATTTCAAAAATAAAAGTCAAGAATGCAATATTTTATAATAGTAAACAAAAAAAATTACCCTTGAGTGCATCCACAGTTGCACCTTTCTCTTTGAATGACCCGATTAAATCCAGAATCATTGAAACTGCTTCGGAACGCGATTTTCCATTCGAACAGGAAGCATCTCCAAGTGATACATCCATTTCAAAGTCATTGCATTCCACAGATTTTTCCGGTGATGTCATTTCGGGTGCACTGGAACATTGTACAACAGCTGGTGTAATCGAACATTTTCCTGTTTTATTAAATAAACAAATTTTTTAATTTTTTTACCAACAAATCAAATTGAACAACAATATAATTTTTCGATATTTTACATACCAAGTTGAATTTCCAACTGTTCACAACGTTCGCGGTACTCATCACGCTCCTTTTTCATCTTTTCTGATTCTGCTAACAATGGTGCAGTCGTACGTTGAGCTATTGAATTGGATAGAATGAATACATTAGTTTCTTTTTTTTTTGGATAATAAAAGATTTTTTTATACATTATAAAAAAAGCATACCAAGTTGGCGTTGCAATTCTTCAAAGCGTTTGCGATAATTGTCGCGTTCTTTTTTCATATTTTTACAAATTGTGTTGAGCCTCAATTCCAATGTCTCACCCATGATTTTTAAGGCTTCCATTTTCTTAATTGTCCCCTTCTTGAATGACATCTTTCTTGTTGCTGAGATTCAGACATAAAGAGTTAGAGATAGAAATACACATTGGACGAAATGTAAATGCTAAGTCTAACTTAATTGAATACTCAAATGTTGATACTATTTTATTAGAAACAAAACCAAATTAAAAATTCAATATTTCTGTGTATACGATGTTCTTTGTAAATATTCTACCATCTTTAGCTAAATTGCCTTGACCCGGATGCTCATCAATGAAAAATCGTAAGCCTTCGAAACTTCTAACTCTACTCGCGGCGACATAAAGTTGCCCATGCGTGAACACAGGTTGACGCAGAAGGACACCAACCCTATCGAAAGTTTGGCCCTGCGCCTTGTTAATGGTCATTGCAAAAGCTGGGATTATTGGGAACTGCGTCCTTTGAAAATCGAAAGGAAGTATTGAACCGGAATAAGTTAAATTTATTCGCGGAATCAATATGCGCTTACCACGCGCAACTCCAGTTAAAATTTCGCAATCGATAGCGTTATGATGCATACATTTAACTCTCATTCTTGTGCCGTTCACTAAAGCCTGAGAAGTATTTAGATTCCTGATCAACAGAACAATGCAATTTATTTTCAACGATAGCTTATGCGGTGGCAATCCACTAATAGCAATTGAATTTAAAAACTCTGTGGGATAGTTGTTAATTTCATTGTCATCATCACAAATTAATTTGTCATAACTGTAATATACTTTCTCTTCACCTGGTAATCTCTGAAGCACATCAGTATTAATTAATGAGCAGTCATCATTAGTTGGTGCCAAAACCACAGAACTAATAATACGTTCTGAGAGAATGTTTTCAGAAATATTACCATAAATCTCAGGAATGATATTTTTCAATTCACCAACTAATTCTGGCGGAATTTCAACTGTGTTATCTCCAAATTGTGGATACTGTGTAGCTTCTCCATTACCAATTTTTTTTAAAAACTCGACAAACGCTATTTCATCAGGCAATGCCCTCATATTTTGTGTTAATGTAACCTTATGAAAAGATGCAAATGCATCCCAACTGGTAACACAATTTTCAATTAACGTCGCACGCGAACCGTGTGGAATGACTGGAAGTATTTGTCTAAAATCACCGCACAATAGTATTGTTTTGCCTGCAAAGAGTTTGTTTTTATCCTCTGTGCTCTCACACAAATCTCTTAATAACCTATCAATTATTTTTAAAACTTGAAGTGGGCACATTGAAATTTCATCGATAAGAATTAGTGAGGCATGATTTATGTATCGACCGTGAACACTGTTTGGAACGACATTGGCCACTGAAGTATCCAATATAGGTATTGGTAGTTTAAATGCATTGTGCAATGTCCTACCACCAATCAACAGAGTAGAGGCAATGCCACTAAAAGCAGTTGCAATGCAACGAAGATTAAGTGAATGCAATCTATGAATTATAGCGGTTTGCGTAAAGGTTTTTCCACAACCTGCGTGGGCAGTTAGGCAAAATACATTTGAGCCAGTGTCACGGTGCGTTACTTCACGAATGACACGGTCAATTATGTTACGCTGTTCAACATTAGCACTTTGGTATAGTTCTTCATATAAAAACTGCGCTTCAAACGGATCGAATGTGTCGACATTATTCACATCTTGCACGGCCAACGGTGTTGGCAACCCAAGCGCTGCACATGTCACATTGTGGGCAATGAATATTTGTTCGATTTCGAGCAATGCTCGATTAAATGAAGTTTCGTCGTCAAAATCTCTCAAGAAATCTTCACTCAAATGCATTTTAAATTCATTCCATAAAGCCAAACAATTCGCTGGAATATTTAATGCACAGATAAATCCAAACAATTCACGTAATTGTCTCGGTGAATTGAATTCCTTAGCTTCATTAAGACATTCACGCCACTCATTATCATTTGATGCGATTCCGCGAGCGTGAGCCGCTTCAAAAAATGTATTATAGACAATTCCATTGTAAGTGCGTACATCTTCGTATGACTTCGGACCACAAACATGTAATAATAACAACCGCAAGTGAAAAAGTTCGATATCTTTAGGCGAAACAGAATACATTCTTGAAATTATCTTCTCACCGTTTTTTTTTCGAGTTTGCCATTTTTTCGAAGTTTGCCACGTATAATGCATCGGAATTTCAACATACTTATATCCATTAGCTGACGGATCCAATCTATTTAATTCAAAAAATGCTGTCAGTTTTGTGTGTTTAATATTATTAATTGCGCTTTGTTCATTTCCTGGTTGAAAATAAACCAATTGCCGAAGAGGCAAATGAACATCGAGCCTTATAGTGGCATGAGACTGATAATGCATTTTGAATTCAAAAATTCTCCATACAGCTTCAGTGGATCCAACATATCTGCCGTTCAAATAATTTTTGACTTCATCAATTTCAACAACTGAGTTGTTATTGTCTGAAGCAGCATTGTTGGAATTAGCATTGTCTCGGGCAGATTCTAACTCAACTGTGGCGCAATCGTACCCTTTGTAAACATATTTATAAATATACTTTACACTTCTTACGGTGGTGCAAACCTCAACGTTTATATGGCAATTAAATTTGGCAAGTAGGTATGGATTGAAAGGGACAACATATCGGTTATCAAGGGAACTTCCTCTAACATCGACGCTGACACCATTATCTCTCCTTCTATAAAGGGGATAACCGTTGACAGACTCACGTGTATTCTCACAAAAAGGCTTTGGAAAATCTTTACTGCACTTGCCTTCTCTCATGCACACAGAATTTTGATTCAACGCGCCACATGGGCCGTGCATCATATGTTTTCTCACTAATTCATGCAATTGTGGCTGGGTTTGCTCATCAGGAATTTCGGCACAAACAGCCCGATCAATATTTGAGGGACCAACAATTTTATCGTTGTCGTCTAATGTGATTAAAATGTGTGCATGAGGCAAACCTCTCTTTTGGAATTCTATTGTATAAATGATCGCTATTACTTTGCCAAATATGCGTTTGTCCACAATTAATTTGATTAATTCCTTTAATTTCAAGCGAAAAACACGGACAATAATGTCCGGACGGTAATTTGCGGATTCAACATTTGAATCTAAACAACCAGTTATTTCAGCCCACTGTGGGTTGCACGTCATGGTTATGAAAAGGGATGGCTTACCAAAACGCTGCACAATCGACATTGCGTCAAGGTAGTTTTGGTACATATTACGTGGGGAACCCGTGAAAGAAGAAGGTAAAATTACTCTTCGACCTATATTGCCATCGTCGTTATCGGTGCCTTCTTCTCGCAACCGTAAATGGTCTGTCAAATTATAATAAACTTCAGACCGCAATTCTTTTTGTTTACTACGAATGAAATGCAACCTCGTACCTTCAATTCGTACATACATATCAACTACCCATTGCAGAAAAAGTTTCTGGGCATGATGCAAAAAACTGAATTCGTCTCGAAGCGCGAGACGGTAGCAAGCATACTGTAGCATAGTTACTTTCACTCTTGGAGCATTAGATGAGGAAGTACTTGGCAATTTATGAAACATGTTTATATGCCACCCTTTGTCTCCATTTGGAAATAGCAATGGATACGCCAAAGGGTCAAGGGACGGATCCAACACAGAGACATGACGCACGGTGCCATTATTTTTAGGGAACGCGATCATATTTCGTTCGAAAGGTGGCTCACCGTCTACAGTGCTAAAAATAACGGCAACATCTGTTTGAATGGCGTCATTATATCTACGAATATCCAATTGATTATTAACCTTAATGACCATGCATACTTCAGTGTCTTCATTTTGCATTCTATCGCAATATTGTTTCAATGTAATAAAAGAGCGAACAAAAGGATTTATCCGATTCAATTCAAAGGAGATATCGCGAAACAAATCTGTTTGACAACCTTCATTCGATCGAACACCCGCTCGATGAGTCACCGCTTCGTCAACATCATAATAATAAAGCTGTGCATAACGTGGTGCATGGCCAACTGGCGCAGTGAACGGTCCAGCCCGATGATAGAAAGTGTTATGAATTTTGAAGTGGTATACACCACCTGCAACCCTGTCCGAGACATCAGCCTCCGAGCTGATCATGGCAAAAGAAGAATTAAAATTCTGAATGTGATCAAAGAAATTTTTGGAGCCTTTTCAAAATGGACCGATTTTAGACCCTCATAAAGCGAATTGAAAAACTGGTTCTGAGTTAACGGTGGTAGTTCAACTTTGCCTTTATGGCAACGCAAAGTGAATGAATTACTATCATCGCCAGTCAATTCAGATTGAAAATTCATTGCGTTGCAATAAACACACTTTACAACCATAGAACCGATATGATGATTAAAAAAATAACTTGGCAATGGATTCAAAGCGCATTTAAATGTGTCTAACAAAACTACAGCTAAATTTTCTTCAATCACTGAACGACTCGCACTTACATTTCGAGCCCTACGTGTATTCTGATCTCTTCTTTCTATAGCCCTATTTGTCCTACCCGTTAATGTTCGACGGCGAGGCATTGCAAACCTCCTAAAAAATAAAAATAAATTCACTCCAAATAATCACGTTGAATTTCACCTAAATATTTGCATTCTTCTTCAAATAAGAAAAAAATTACTCACTTTGATTGAACGCACTCAGAATATCAAACCAACTGATGACACACAACGTCGGAATGTCCACTGTTGCCACTCGTAACTGGGAAAAACATCGAAACACGATTAAAATTAAAGAACCACAAAATTTTCTTATTATGTTTGTCATTTGTCTATAATTATTCCAAAAAAAAAATCACAATCAAAAATTATCAATTCGATTGAAAACAAACAACGGGAAAATATTTTGCGCGCGAAAAAACTGATTTTGTGTCATATCTCAACGATGGCGAAAAAAAATCACACTTCAAAAACATTCGATTCGTTCGGTTGAAATCAAGAAACGGGAAAATATTTTCAATGCAAAAAACTCATTTTGTGGCATATCTCAACGATTCGTTCGGTTGAAATCAAGAAACGTGAAAATATTTTCAATGCAAAAAAACTTACCGTTCGTCGCTAAGTCCAAATAGAAGGCTAACTGCAAGCACACGTCGAAACGTGTACTGATGATGCAAATATATTTAGTATTAATATTTGGAAAATCTTCACACTCAAAAATTACTCAATTATAAAAACAAAAAAAGTTAGAAAATTCTCTTCTTTTTTTTCTCAAACTCACTGATTATCAAAATGCGTGATGCTTGACCAACTCAATCCGGCAGAATGAGCATCATCTCTGTATGGCACACAATACTCACCATCACAGCGCTTCAAACACACAGTGTAAACAAATTGGTTCGAATCGTTGATGCTCGACCACACAAAAAACCGTTGCCATGGCAAACGGGACCTGTGTGTGTGGAGAACACACAAAAAGAACTGCACAACGTAATATGACACTTCGAACAAAAATTCTTACCACTTTCTCCATCTCGTTTCTCTCTTTCACTTTCTCATTCCTTCCTAAACAAATGCCCACAATGATTTAAAATGAAAAAACTTTCATTTTTTTTTTATTTGTTCGATTTATTTTCACGTCGTCGAAAAATGTAATGACATTGGAAATCAAGAAAAAAACAATTGAGCGGCTATGGAAGCCAGAAATCGATCAATTTGTCCAGATCTCGTAGAACGGTGTACAAAATAACGCACATCTCGACACGATTAAGTGTGGTTACACCACTGTGCTCAGAAGCAAGAGCTCCTGCTGCCACATACAGAGGAACACCGGTTTGAAGCGATAGCGCGAAAATCTCATTTTCTTCTTGATGTTCTGGTGCGAGCTGATGATTTCGAACAACAAAATGCAAAAACTTCACGCGTTCCTCCATATTCGAAATTACGTCCGCTTCGGTACTCCATTGGTTTGTGTTTGTGATGTCAAAAAGGTACCGAATAAACTTCTGCTTCACACCACATCGCGCCGATATAATGGCAATCAAACGCTCTTCCGCAATCACTCTTTCCATTGTGCTAAGCAATGGAAACAACAACGATTAAAATTCTTAGAACGGTTGAAAAAATCGGAGGAAATTTTTCGGATAAATTTTTTTGTTCACTTACTTTTGTTTACTTACTTTTTCTCAACACGCACAACCCAAATCAATTCTGCGAATTTCGTCACTCCGTAAAACACTATTTTTATGATGTCGAATATTCGACGAATTTTGTCACGACATAAATCACTTAAAAA